ACAGCATAAATACTGACATTCGAAGGACATGACTACAAGGCAAAGTCCCTGGACTTTAACAAACACACCAAGTTTATCCATACAGATGAATGATGTCCCCTCAGATAGGTGGCAACATGCCAAGATATTGTTACTATTGAACCCGATTTTGGAACTCCAGTTAGGAACTGCCTTCCTTCACACAGAGAGTGAATTGCTTTGAATGCCCCCAATGGTCAGAAAAACCTTTTTCTCCTCAGTATAAGTTTTATTTTTTGAAATGACCAAGGAATTCAATAAGGCAGATGGTAATCAACTGGATAGGGATGCTTTAACCTAAATAGGAGGAGCATACAATATAATAAGACTAGCTTTCATACTCCTTAGGTAGTACCGAAGATGATTCTAACAGAAGTTCCTAAAACATCTAGAACAATAGCAGTGTGGTCAAAAGAGGAGTCTAGATCTCCAAGACAACTCATCTGAAGAGGGTGACTTCCATTTGAATATACAGGATTTTTTTTAACACAACTCATCTGAAGAGGGTGACTTCCATTTGAATACACAGGATTTTTTTTTAAGAAAAAAGCTATCCTCACAGATACCCATGAGGTATCTATGCTCATAGAAACCCATGAGCATAAAAAACCCCTTTTTTTGATTTTCATAGAAACCCATGTTATTTGTTATTAGATAAGGGGAGTTGGCTGTTTTTCAGCTTATTACAGGACAAAAATTTTATGTGACAATTCAGTTTTTGGAGTAAACAGAAGTACAAAACCTGAAATGCCTTCACAAACTATGCTTTAGTCATTCTCTTCCACAACAGACTTAAAACATTCACATGGTCATAAAATCTGGAAGGCACAATGGATAAATGTATAGTAAGTGTACATATGAATATGAACCAAATAGAAAATACAAACTCGGCCGAACAGAACTTATCCTTTTGGGTTCCAAGTCTTATTTCCAAAGCTAATTTCATTAAGCATATCTACCAGTGATCTGCGATACTGGCACAGACTGGAATGTCAGGCCATGTACAGATTAGCTCCAACAAGTGTTGTATTCTGCCCATGCAGAGGTATCTGAGGGGACAGTATAGGTAAGCGAGTTTTGGGTTTTTGTATTCCTGACAATGATGAAGAGAAGGAAATCAGCACACATTGGGCACAAGACCCGAACACATTACTAATTTAATTCTTTCAACATCTCTGAGTTAAATATTTTTATTCCGTTTTAGAGATGAAGAAACTGCGGCTTGGGAAGTTTAAATAACAGAACACTGGCACCCTGCTGACCGGGGAGAGATGCATTTGGAATCAGCGGACCACGGGAGGGGAACAAAAGAAAAGGCCGAGGCCCTGTGTTTAGAAAAGAAAAGAAAAGGTTCTCTGTTTATTCCCACAGAGAACCTTTATTTTTAAAGCTGATGTTATCATATTTCCTAGTTACTTCTTTCATTAATCTCAATAACTCTTTTGTCATAATTTTCTCCAAAATGAAGTAGTGCAGTTACTTCCTGATCTGGGAAAATAAAATGTTCTATGAATTTCTGACAATCAGTTAAGTGCTTGAACCAGTCAAGTGTGTGGGCCAGACATATAAAAACAATGCGAGATAAATACAGAAATGCTGAGGTAAAAAGAACCCATTTTTAAAAACTGTGAAACTTAGTTTTAAGTCACTAGGAAGCTTAACCATCCATGGAGTGGGGATGATAGATAAAAGCTTTAAATTAGGAAAAGAATAAAGAGGAGATCCTGCAAATAAAATGCAAGAGGAAATTCTGATAAATGTCAGGGCATTTCATTTGACCTTAAGACATATTTTACTGGTGACTGTTTTTACAAGTACTTCTGGGGTTTTCTATTTGTTAATGACCCAGATTTTCCAGTTTATCTCCCAGTTTATTCTGCCTAGTAAAGCTTGATCATGTTTGGCTTTTATTTTCTTTTTTAAAAATTATTTTTACTTATTTTTAGAAAGGGGAAGGGAGGGAGAGAGAGAAACATTAATGTGTGGTTGCCTCTCATGTGGCCCCTACTGGGGACCTGGCCTGCAACCCAGGCACGTTCCCTGACCGGGAATCGAACCCACGACCCTTTGTTTCGCAGCCCACGCTCAATCCACTGAGCTATGCCAGCCAGGGTGGCTTTTATTTTCTTATTCAGCTCCCAATGACTGATAATTTGAGAGTAAACAAATTAAAACAAGCCACCTGGATGAAATAATGAATTTTCATCATCTCGATAACTAACATTTCAGTTCCAAAATAAATGTAAGCTCCATAACTTACAAATATTTTGTGAGATTCGCACCTTATCTCTGTAAGGGCTTCGGTCTCATTGACACTGTCTTTACCATCGCCAACAACAAACACTACCAAAATCCTAAAACAGGTTAAACCTGAAGTAACTAATGTTTTGACAGTGATATAGCCAAAAAGATGGTCTTATCCAGAATTTAGACTTGGGAATATATTGTCTCAAAAATCTCAACATCACTTGCATAATTGTGTCTGTTTTGCTTTGTTTTGCTTTCTGTGAGTCTGCATCTGCTTTCATGCCAAAAGGGTATACAGAAACGTGTGCCAGTTGACACTTTACAAAGCAGAGCTGAGTTCACAATTTTCTTTCACTTCAAAGGGCAGAGCACAGGGTGCAGAGAGAGGCGGGATCGGGTCCTGGCAGCCAAGCACTGCCCTCTGGCACTCACACTCCACTCCCCAGGGATGCAAGACTGCAAACGCTGGCCCCTTGGAACTCTAGGTAACATTTCCCACAACCCTTGACTCATAAATATTGACATTTGGGGAAAACAGAGCAGAAAAGAAAAAAGGGCTTTACTCAGAAAAAAAAAGTTGCTTTCAAGTTGAAATGTTCTTATATCTTTAAAGCCTGATTTACACCAAAGATACTGCTATGATTTTAAATAAAACATACTCTACTTTGGTACTTTTAAAAAATCTTATTTATCATCAACCAGAGCATTTAGGAAACCAAAGTTTCAAAGGAATTTTTGTTTGTTTGCTTGTTTTTTTGTTGTTGTCATTTTCTTGCTCATTGCCATGAGGAAAGGTTTAACTAACAGGACTGAGTTGAATGCAGTCTTTCTAGAAGGAACTTAATGTTCTCAGAGAAATTTTTTTTTTACTAACAACTTTTAAATTATAGTGAATTAAAAAGTCTTTATTTTTAGAAAAAAAAAAACTCTTCCTTTTTCCTTTTAAATAGTTGTCTCCATCGCCCTTAGCTTCAAAACCAGAAATAAGATGGTTAACTAAGACCTCTGAGAATTCTCCCAGGACCCTGGCCCTGGTGCTTCCACTGTGGAACTGCAGCGCACCCTGGTGGTGCCTGACGTTATATCCGATGCACGCATGTGAATGGCCAACATCACACCCAAATTAATAGAATGCCCTGTGTTTAGGCTTTTAGAAAACAAACGATCAGGAAAAAGAACAGTGGATGAGCTCTCTTCAATTATAATTACAAATAGATCTTTTCACAGTTTTTTATATAATTACCTTTTAAGTACAGTTTTGTAAGGTTTCTGATGAGTCATTGACATAAACTGATATAATTTTTAACATTCATGTATTTTCAAAATAACCCCTTTTAATAACTTTCCATTTTCTTGAACAATGTCTCAAAAGCACTTTTAAGGGAAAATATCTTTATTAAGTGGTAAGCTAGTTTTTTCCTTCTCTATCCTTTGAGTATAATAAGCACTGTCAACACATGAAAAAACAAAAAGAGAGCGAGAGAAAGAAACAAAAGAAGAAAGGGAGAAAGAATGAAGAAAGGAAGAAAAAAGAGAAAGAAAAGATGCATATGTCATATGACTTTTCCCTAGCCATCAAATTTTGGCTAATAAGAAAGTTAATTAAGTTCACTTCCATTCTTAAAGAGAAAATGTATTTTAGATATTTTTTCCCTAAAAGAAAAGACAGTTTTATATGCTTTTTTTTGTTGATGTTGTTACAGCTAACAATACCATCGATGCAAGACTTTAGGGACAAAAGGTGATTCATAGTATAGTCAGTTCATACCCAGGATTTCTGCATGTGCGGATTGAGCTAACCACAGATCAATGAAAAATACTCAAAGAAAATGCTATGTTGTTGCTTATGAGTGCTCTGTAATTAGGCCTGCAATAGTTCCACCTGCACTGAATAAGTAAAGACATTTTTCTTGCCATTACCCCTAAATAATATAGTATAAGAACGACTTACACAGCATTTACATTTCACTGGGCATTGTAAGTAATGGGAGGAGGGCTGAAAGGAGCCTGGCTAAGATGACAGAAACAGAGTCCTAGCAAAATCATTTGATCTCCTAGATGCAGCTGTACCTGAAGTAAGCTGAACTTCTGAACTTTCCAACTACACCAACAAATTATTTTTTTCTTTTAAGAAAAGTAGAATTAGATTTCAATCACTTGCTACCAAAACAAAAAGATTTTTTTATATAGTCTATTTTACTAGCATTTTATTAAAATGTGTCCTGCCTGTGCCAACAGCCCACATAATCTTAGAAGTCACCTTATTAAAGTTCCCTCCCCGGCCACCCTGGGTGTGCTGTGTCTCTGATCTCTGCCTCCCACACCCAGATAGTTTGCACTCACTTTGAAGAAGTTTTACAAGTTTGCTCTAGCGGCACACCCTCTTACACGTGGCCACTAACAAAGGAGGATCTCTAAAACGGCTTCCAAAAAAAGGAGAGCCGTGAACAGCTAAGCCCATATGACAAGTGCAGCCCTAGCCAACACCTTGATGTCAGCCCGGTGAATACCTGCACAGACAATCCAGCCATCTGACCTGTCAGAACTGTGAGATGATCAGTTTGGGTGGCTGTAATCCACTCCTCCTAGTTATTGGTTACCCAGCAACAGAAAATGGATACGGGTCAGATGCAATGACTTGTCCCTCGCTTTGGAAGGGATATCTTGGCATGTTCTAAATGACTGGGACCTCAAAAAATGAAGACATATGAGCAGATTCCAATGAAGGCGGGTACCTGGAATGCCTGGGTTGTGTTGAATCTTCGTTGCCAAGAGAAACAGCTCTTCTAACTCTGCTGTTTCATCTTAGCTGTGTCTTCCTTTGCCTGCAGGACTTTCCTGGTTTGCTGTAAAGAAAGGTATCCAAAGGTTTAGAGAGACTGGACCTTAAGCTCCAGCTCAAACACAAAGACAACAAATATCCTTACAGAGACTATTAAACAGTCTACATTTGCATAAGGTTATTTGACCACATTTGCATAAGGTCAAATCTCTGTAACAAATGTGTGTGTGTATTCCAGAGTTTCTGCTTTTCTGGCTGAGCCCATGGAGATGAAGGAAAGGTCACTGTCACTAATACCACGTTCAAGACCCTGAAACCCTTCTGTGTTCCAGACCCTGGTGCCCTCATAATGTAGTGTTCCTCAAGTTGTTTTTATCTACCGCTCTGAGAGAGGCAGAAGTCAAACATGTTTACCTCAACCTGGTTCACGACAGATAGGGCATATAAGGCAGTGACAATGAAATTCCCTTTAGTGATCATCAACCCATTCTGTATAAAAAAAGAATGATGGAATGATGTGAGCCCTAGCTGGTATAGCTCAGTGGATTGAGCACAGGCTGTGAACCCAAGGGCCACTGGTTCAATTCCCAGTCAGGGCACATGTCTGGGTTATGGGCCAGGTCCCCAGCAGGGGATGCATGAGAGGCAACCACACACTGATGTTTCTCTCCCTCTCTTTCTCTCTCCTTTCCCCTCTGTCTAAAAATAAACAAAATCTTTTTTTAAAAAAAGGATGTGAGAAATTTATCATTTTTCTGCTCCAAAAACGTACTTTTTAAAAAGTCTTTTTAAGGAATGCAAAAGACCTAGAAAAAATTATTGATACCATTTAGATTTGTATGCAAGTGAAAGAAACACAAACTAGCTGCTTGAGAGAAGCAGAACACTAGAGTATTATGGGAACAAGAGATTTATTACAAGACTCAGACCTCACACAAATGTGGGAGCAGCCGAGGAAGTGGAGGGGGTGCATGAGTGAATCACTGACCAGGTCTTCTAAATGCACTGGCGTGAGCGGTTGAGTTGGAGCTTGTGGGGGAACCTGGGAGGCAACTCTACCCAGTGCTTCAGTGGGACTGTGAAGGGGGAGCTCACAGACAGATGTCTGGGAAGATGTTCCTTCTGTGCAGCTACCTCCTCTGTGGGCCTGCAGCCAAGCACCCAGACAGAAGGGAGGAAGAGGCCGAGTCTGCTCTGAATGAGCAGGAACAGCTGCCCGTGGGGCAAGGAGCAGGATGCTGTGGAGGAGAGCGAGAACCAAGTGGGCCCCACGGTACGTCTGTGTCTGCCTGGCCGGGGCGTCCCTTCGGGAATAGAAAACTTCCCCTCAGTGTCTTGGGAGCTCCTCTTTGGCCAGCTCCAACCCAGAACTGTGCATGGCGGATTTGGGGAAACATAATTCCCAGCTTAACCAAGATGTCACGGCATACCGCAGCATGCTAGCTAAGTAAAAGAAGTTTATTCTAAGGATCCTGGAGTTCCTCACAGAACTGAGGACAAGAATGGGATTAGGTCTCAGGAAGAGTCAGAAACAGGCACTCAAACACCCGCTTGGCTCCCTGCTGTCTTGCCTCTCCTGTTGCTCTCCACCCACCTGCTCCTTCATCTTCCTCTCCCAGACCAGCCTGCCGCAGTGTGGGAGACCTATGCTAACTGCTGACAACTCCCAGACTTTTTTCCCACAGCTTCCTCAGATGGGTTAATAGGAGACTCTCAGCTCCACTTCTTGGTGCCTAGTCCAAGAAATTCTGAGAAAGGATTCACTGGCCAGTGCACTGGGTCATGTTACAAAATGGCCACTCCTGCTGTACCATGTGCGTGGAAAGGAAGAAGCAGGTTTCAGGAGAGAGTAGAGAGTTTTGAGCAAAGTAGCTCATAGGTGTACACGATACGGGGAAGTACTTACATATAAGAGGCTCCATGGGTATATTGTCTCATTTAATGCTAAGTCAACCCATTTTATGGTGAGAAAATTGAGGGTCAATGAGATACCTTATTGAAGGTCCTAGAGCAGGGGGGTCAAACGCATGTTCACCGGGGGCCACATCAGCCTCATGGTTGCCTTCGAAGGGCCGACTGTAATTTTAGGACTGTGTAAACGTAACTGCTCCTTAATGAGGAGCAATGAGCTCTACATTCAGCCCTACCAGAAAGAAAGTGGAATAGCTTGGAAGTTCACTGTTTCTTTTCCTTCCAGGATTTCATTATCAACAACAATTAATATGTATTGAGCATGGTATTATAAAGCACTGTACCAAGCATAACAGAAATACATATGTAATATAATAAAAAAAAAAGATGGCAACGTTCCAATAAATTCTCCGAATAAGACACGAGAGAAGTTGCTCCCTTGCCATACCTTCAGAAGCTATCTCACACTGCTGGGAAACACATCTTCACTACTCTCTACTGTCAGGAATACTGAGGTCAAAACGCCAGACAGGCATGAGATGAGGTCCTACCTATTGAGAAAAAATAAAAGAACAAAATGATGGAATGGTAGCTAAGAGAGGTTCTAAGATTTCTAACTTTTTCTTGAAGAGTTGCAAGTTAAGATCAAAGAAATATTTTCCTTTACATCAGCAGTAAACTGAATCATGTGGCCTCCACAACAAATAATAGTATAAATATATAATACATAAGTGTAATACTTATAATAAATAATAGAAATGTTATAAATAGAAACACGTTTATATCAAGAGGCTTCCACAATAATTATTTAGCTCTATAACTCATCTTTGGGGAAAAATAAACCAAAACAAAAACCTGCTAGATCTAAAACTTTGTAACTGTACACACAGACACACACAACTCCCCAAATTTAAACTAATCTTAAGAAGCCACAGTTCCTTCTTAAAACTGAACTTCTTTAAGGCCTTGAATAAAGATGACAATGGCAGAGATAATGCAACACATGAAAATAGCTCATTATTAGAAATTCTAAGGATCGATTATAACTGGAAAGAAAACTGGGCCATCAACCTTCATTTTGATATTATATACTTTTGCAGAAAATTTTGCTATTCTTCAGTTTCAAAATGTGCTCTCACTTCGTCTTGGTTTGTCTTTCAAAAAACACGTCTTGCCGTTTTGAGCTCCCTGAGGGTAACTAGTACGGTCAGTTCAGTGTCGCTGTAAACTTCAGGTCCAGTTACTGTCACCCACTTATTCTTCCCAAAGATGCTGGCCACTTATTTCAGGGCACGTGTCCTACTATACTAGTTTTTAAAAATGCTGGTGACAGTGTAGTTGAAAATTCAAATGGAAAAAATTTGGAAGGGTCAGCTTCTTCCCTTCTGCTGATTTTAAAAAACTGATTCTTGAGAAGAATGTCTCTGTGCGGGATGAACGGTCTACAGCACCGATAATCCTATCATTGCCAGCTCCTTCGTAATCAGTGTAGATGGTCACACGGTTCCTTCAACCCGTAGTGATGGGAGTCAATTGTGAAGATGGCTGAAATAATTGGGGCACATCTGCAGCAGGCCAGCTCTGTGGTCACATGAAAATGAGGTCACACTCAAAAATCATAATGGATCATATTCTCTGTGGGTAAAATAGGAGCGATGACGAGGAGATATCAACCAGTTTCAGAAGGACACTAGCAAGTCAAAGATGTAAATCATTCATATTTATATAGGTGTGGAATAAAAATAAACAATACTACTTATACAAATTTAGGCAGATTTGTGTCTCAAAAATGTAATTTCCAGCTCATAATAAAAAAGCCAGTAATAAAAACACTGGAAGTAGGATTGGTTAAAGCTAAAGTATTGTTTTAATCCTTTGTTTTGTTATGCTGGATCAGATTTCTTCCGTTTGTCACTCCAACTCTATCCTCTGCCCGTCTCTGCTGTGTCTCGTGCCTCAGGAGGCTGATCTGTTAGAATCATACCAACGGGCTCCCCTGTCCTCTGACTTCCAGCTGGGTTTGGCCGATGGGCGGCAGAGTGGGAGCTCAGAGAAAGGGAGGAGAATGAGATGCAGCTGAGTCCATCGATGGCGCCGTCCCTCCACAAGGTCCATCAACGTAGAAGGTCTGTTCACCTGACCCACTCCACACAGCTTCTCTCCCTTCGTGTTCCACTGTCTGCGTCCTGCCTTTGCCCTGCCACTGCACCATGTCACGAGGTTTCCACAGGCATTGCCCAAACCTTTGTAAACGTCCCCTTCGAAACTATCGAGTCATCCCATTTGAGTGACCATGTGTGACTTTGATTGAATCATATGACCAGCTGATACTCTCACAGAACCATATGACCAGTAATCATTATTTAGAATTATTTGGCAATTAGGGTTAATTCAGAGCAATTGCTTGATAACAAAACGTGTGGCTGTTTCCCTTCACCTTGTGTGTGCCTTCCTTGGTAAGCCTGAGACAACATTCAGATCTGCTCCATCATGATGCCCAGGTGGCATGTCAGCCTGCATCCCAGCCTGGACAGGCTGTGGAGCTCATTCTTTTTCCCAGGACCCACCTAAAACTGGCAGCTTGGGACGGTGCAGTGTGAATCCAAAAGGTTTCATCATTTACTGTGCCTCTTCCTTTATGGTGACTGGTGCAAAGTACTACCATTTGCCTCTTTCTGTAGAAGGAATTTCCTACTATGCCTCAAATGAATGAACATCTTGAAACTTCACTACACTGGTAGAGCCCTGAACTATTACAGAGTGTGTCTCCCACTGCTGATACATGTGCTTTCTACTTTCTGCTCATTACATTGAATTAACAATATGATAATTGATATAAAGGACCAATGTGATGTTTTATAAAATATAACAAAGGTATACCTTTGTTTCTGCTATATAAATGTAAACTGCTTCTGATTTTGCCCACTGACTGGGATGGAAAATAATGCATTTCCCATGTCAGTAGCTGCATGTTGGGTGCCAGGTAATAACGCGTTCCAACAAATACACTGTATCTAAAACTATAGCTGCAACTCCCCGCACATTCTCTGTCGTTTTGCAATGACTGTCATTTTCTAAGGCCCTTCAGGCTTTTGCTTCGGTCACACAGAAACACTGCACACAGCTGGAGCAGGAACCACTAACCCCACTTCCCTCCGGGTGTTCATGGCAGTGGTCACTTCCACAGTCTCTCCAGGAGCACTGCTTACCACTCTCCGTGGGTGTTTGGCATGGAAGAGTTCCAGAACTCTAGATGGTTCTTCCTTTCATAAGGACTCTTGCTCCACAGGACAGGGAAGCAGAGGGCGCTCTACTACTTACCAAGTATATGTGCATGTATTCCCACCATATATTCCAGAACTGGACTAATGAACACAGGATGAGTCTGAAATCCCACTAGACCCACTGTTAGATGAATTGGGGCCAAGGCTTCATCCAACTCCTGACATCCATAAGCTCCCACTTTGGTGGGCTATCACCGTCTTTGGGGCCTCTGAGTATCTGTGTAAAATTACAGCCAGTATCTGAGCTCCCAAAGTTCTAGATATTTCTGTTCCCCCGCTGCACAGTCCCACGGGTAAGTAGCTTCAGGTCACTCTGTGGAACGCTTTGGAGGCTTCTCACTGCGTACATCTCTGGTTGGGCTGCAGGGTCTTTTTCAGAGATGCTCGGCCTCCACTTCTGTTGAAGGGCTTTAGGTCTACCTGCTGGCTGAGTTCTGGAAACCTGGCAAGAAGCCATGAATCCTAATAATAGTATCTGGTTAGCTTCTTCCCAGCTGACCTTACAGTATCCCTTCTACCTTGTAAAGCAGAGCCTCTCTAGGCTGCCCATTTATTTCAAACAGCCCTGTTATTACACCTTCTCTGACTCATTATTGTACCAACTGCACCTGAAGTTGCCTTTGTCACTTTGTAGGCTCAACTGCCTAGCCTCCAACCCTCTGGAATTCCACTTCCTCACTATAATCAGAAATGCAATTTTTGTAGAATTTCCCACTGTCTTCTCTGGCTATCTGAAAAGAGCCACCACAGAGATGCCTTCCTGCTCCTTTACATGGTGCTTGATAGAGAGAGTGGCCTCAGGCTACCCTGGACAGTCTATGCTGGACAACTTGTTCTGCCTTCCAAGTGTGCAGAGAATGCACTATCAGAGGAATCTAATCACTGTTTAAAACTTTAGACAGTAGGCAGTTTGAGAAACGTCATTTCTTGTTGGATGGCCACGTGTCTAGCTGAAGCTCTCCCACTGTGGCAGAAGCAAAGGGCAGATTTGGGAGGATCGCTTCCAGTCGGCTACACCCTGCTCTCCTTCCCCTGGTTCCTCCCCCTCAGCATGTGACCATGCTCATTGGTGGCCTTTCCTTCCTTCCACTTTTGGAGGAAAAAATAAAACTTTCCCTCATCTCAATATCCCTCCTTTACTATTTCCCTCCCCTTATTCTGTATAGTTATATGAAATAATTGTCCTCAAATACTTATCAGTGGGTATAGGAAAGTCTCAGTTAACATAGGAAAGAAAGCTCTAGATATCAATATACAATGCACAACACTGACCACTTCAGAATTATTATAAGTTGAGGACCATTTGTTCTGTTTGCATCAGCTCCTTTTTTAACATCACCAGGTGTGGTAAGCAGAATGATGACCCCCAAAGATGTACATTTCGTAATTTCAGAATTTCTGAGTATGTTACCTTGCATGGCAAAAATGGATTTTGCAGATGTGATTAAGAACCTTGAATTGAGATTATTTTGGATTTCTTGGGTGGTCCCAATCTAATCACGTGGGTCCTTAAATGTGTATGATGAAGCCCTGGCCATGTGGCTCAGTTGGTTGGAGCATCATCCCATACACCAAAGACTGAGGTTCAATCCGCCCCAGTTGGGGCATGTACAGGAGGCAACCGATCAATGTTTCTCACATCGATGTTTCTCTCTCTCTTATCTCTTTCTCTCTCCCCCACCACCCCCTTCCCTCTCCCTTCCTCTTTCTCTCTAAAGTCAATAAACTTATCCTTGGGTGTAGATTTTTAAAAACTATGATGAAAATAAAAAAGGGTATTCTTGATAGGGACTCAACTCCCTGCTGCTGGCTTTGAAGGTGAAGACAGACCACGGAGCAGGAATGTGGACACCCTCCAGAAGCCGTGGCCAGCTCTCAGCTGAGGGCCAGCAGGGACAGGGCCCTTACTGCTACAATGTCAAGAAACTAATCCTGCCAGTGGCTTGAAGGAGCAAGGAAAGAGATCCTCCCTGGAGCCTTCAGAAAGGAACGCTGCCCTGCCAACTCCCAGGTTTGAGATCATTGAGGTCAATGTCAGACTTGCCCTCCAGAAATGTTAACATAATAAAATACATTAGTTAGGCCACTAAGTCGTGATCATTTGATATGGCAGCAACAGAAGTTACATCAGGCAAGGTATGTTTTTCACTTGTCTTCCCTCCTGGGGACACTGATCAGAGGAGCCAGGATTCCTCAGAACAGGGGAAGTGGAAAACACTCAGGCAGAGGACAATTGCTTGGCTTACGTTCTGCTTTAGAGAGGGCTCCGGGGAGCGCATAGGCAGGAAGGAAAAAACCAAGACCCTGCTCTCCCCTCGTTTTCCTCTCCTTTCCCAAATGAGAAAACTGGAAAACACAAATTACAGGATTTGCATTATAGGAGCAAAAAAAAAAAAGACTAGTTCTGCCTTGGATAATAAGGATGATACATAAACAGCAGCACTGGTCACACTGGTCAAGCCCGGTGGACCCCATTCCAAACTACGCATGTGCAGCACACTCACTCCACAGTGCCGGAGAGCAGGGAATTGCCATCCCGCCCCCACGTCCTACCTGTGTAAAGCCTTACAGGACATGTGCTCCGTAGTTTACACAAGGCAGCTGACAGCCTGAGAAAAGGAAGAGGTAAAACTCAAGTTCCACAGAGAACTCTCCACACTGGAATAAAATCCTCCATGAATTCTCCCAGCCTCATGTAAATCAAAGCCTTCTTTCCAAGGGGATCACCAGAGTCTAGCATCAAATGTACCAATGACATTTTGATCCTCATTTAAATCCTAAGACAATATGTCTCAGTAAAAAAAAAAAGTTCTGTTTTTATGATGCACAGAATCTTCTTCCTAACCAAAAATACCTTCTTTTCAAAGTCTCCTGAATTATGTAGTTTTGAATCTGTGATTTGAAGTAAGTACCCATCAGTAAATAAGTGGATCAAAAAACTGCGGTACATTTAGACAATGGAATACTACGCAGCAGAAAAAAGGAGCTCCTACCCTTTGTGATAGCAAGGATGGATCATGATAGCATGGATGGATCTCGAGAGCATTATGCCAAATGAAATAAGCCAGGCGATGAAAGACAAATACCATATGGTCTCACTTATAAGTGGAACTTAATTAACAAAACAAACAAGCGAAATAGAACCAGAGACGTTGAAATAAAGAACAACTGACAGTAACCAGAGGGGAGGGAGCAGAAGGATAATGGAGGGGAAAATGGGAAAGGGACGTCAAGGAACAAGTGTAAAGGACCCACGGACAAAGCCAGGGAGGGGTAGGCTCGAGGGTGGGAGGCAGGGATGGGTGGGGCAGGGGGGAGTTGTGAGGGGAAAATGGAGACAACTGTACTTGAACAACAATAAAAAAATAAAAATGAAGTTATCAGGGCTTTTCACATTCCTTTTAACCTGTAATTTATATTCTACAAGTATCACTTAAATCAGCCTGAAAATAAATTATGAGTGGAGATAGGGGAGAAAATCCCCACCAGATAGAGCTACTGGAAAGGTCATCTACTGAGGAATAACTTATTGAAAGGGTAATTTATTATTTACTATGTAAGTTATTCACACCGTTCACAGTGCTCCTCACCTGAGTAAGGAAGCATAGCAGGTGCTATCGAGGATTATCAGGTGGCTTACGATGCTTTATCGCCTTTCTTGGGAGGAAACTAGAGAGCCTCATGTCATTCATCCAGTAATTTGAGAAACGCACCTTTGGAGGTGCGGCAACTCTCCTATTTAGTTAAACATTTAGTTTAGTAGTTTAAACAAAGAGCCTCTATAAAGAAAATCGACCCTCCGGTTCCCTTTCCCATTGGATCTGAACACCAGTCTTGGGGATTGTAAAAGGAGGGAAAGTAACACTGAAGCTGGCCTCACAGCTCTGTAGCATGTGGGCTAGTTTCAAACAAGGTAAAAGAGAGAAAGAAAAAGAACATTGAATGGGCAAGTTAATATACTAAAGGAATAAATATACTATTTATTTACTATTTAATAGTAAATATACTATTTAAATATACTATATATAATTAATATACTAAAGGAATAAACCTGAGTGCAGAATGTGAAAATTAAATCTGTAAGGGAAGAGAGTCACCGGAAATTATTAGAAAAGTCCTGGAAATGTGGGGTGTAGCATTGGGTAGAATGAGCAAGGCCTAGGACAAAGTCAGGTCCATCTCGGAATCAGAAATGGAGACCCAAGGGTGACAATTCCCGTACTGTGCACTGAGGGCCACAGGGCACTGGTGTGGACTCACAGAGGCACCAGGAGCTGTTTTCAGTGTTTGACACACCATGAGATACTTTTCATCTTTGAGAGAATTTGTTAGACATTATGTCATGTGTATAGTCAGGTTGTTTGGGCCCAATTACTTAATAAATGAAACTATTTATTAAGAAAGCCTGAAAAAATTACTGAGATTCTAAGGGTGCCATAAAACAAGAAAGTCTGGGAATCTCTGTCGTAGGAACACGCTCAGGTTCACAGGACACAGCCTGCTTAGAGCGGAATCAGGACCAAAGTGGGCAAGACGGTGCCTCCGGCCGCTCCTCACCAGCCGCCTGTGCTGTGGCTGTTCCTCCCACTCCGCCCAGGCTCTGAAGGACTTTGGGGGCCTGTTACTCGGAGTTTCCCGTGAAGTCCCTTTAAAATCAGTGAATCTTACTTTTATATCAGAGAATCTTACTTTTACATACGATTTTTCAATGTTGGCTTAGAGAACAAACTACTAGAATTTCCCAAATATTTAGTGTGAGAAAGTCTACTAAACTGTGAGTACTTCCCTAGTGAAGAAATGAATAAACTTTATGATGAAACTCATTCAACAACTTCGTAAGAGCCCATTATAAAAGTTTTAAAATTTACTCCAGATTACTCCCATTGAGGGAGGAGGGAAACAATTAAATCTAAATCTAAAACTCAAATTAAATTGAAATTAATCTAAAATTCACTTAATTCTTTTGACTGGTTAGCAAAATCTCAGACCCCCAAGGCAATGTATTCCTTAAAAATAAAAACTTGGAGCATTTGAGATCTTCCTCCCTAGCATGTTGTCAATTTGGCTTTGGCTCAAATAAATTCTTATAAAAATAAAAATACACACCAAAAAAACAAAAAACCTGAGGCACTTGACCTAGGCTTAAATTTAGCTCTAGGCAAAAGAAAAATCACTTTAAGCAAGAAGCCTCTTTGAGATTAGATACAGAGTTTATAAAGAGACAAAAGACATTGTTTCAGTTACCTATTCACTGGGACAGGTGCATAACAAACCTCAAACTCAGTGAAGTAAAATAAATCATTTCATTATGCCCATAAATTTTTTTAAAAAAACTTTATTTTTTTCTGAGTTTTAGGTTTACAAAAAAGTTGAAAGGTATAAAGAATTCCCATATACCCAGGGCCCTTTACATGAGTTGTCTCCCCCTTTATCAGTATGTTCAACAGAATGGTACATTTTTTTTTACGATTTTATTATTTTTAGAGAGAGGGGAAGGGAGGGAGAAAGAGAAGGAGACAAACATCAGTGATGGTTGCCTCTCGTGTGCGCCCCCACTGGGGACCTGGCCTGCAACCCAGGCACGTGCCCTGACTGGGAATCTAACCAGGGACCCTTTGGTTTGCAGGCTGGCAGTCAATCCACAGAGCCACACCAGCCAGGGCACTCAGTACAGTTTTAGCAAGGATGAATCACACTAACACATCAAAATCACCCAAAGTCCAGTTTACGTTAAGGCTCATTCCATGGGTTTGGACAAAAGTATAATGACATATATTCATCATTATAATATCAGAAATGCCCTAATACCAGAAATGCCCTGCCCTAAAAGTCCTGAGCTCTGTTTATCTTTCCCCCACTGCCATCTGGAAATCACTAATGCTGCATCTTCATAGTTTTGCCTTTTCCAGAATGTTATATAGTTGAAATTATACAGTATATATCCTTTTCAGAGTGGCTTTTTCACTTAGTAATATGCATTTAAGACCTCTAGCTAGGTCTTTTTATAGCTTGACAGCTCATTTCTTTTTTTCAGCAATGAACATATTCTATTGGATATTGTACCACTGTTTATTAATCATTTTCCTACTGAAGGACATCTTGGTTGCTTTCAAGTTCTGGCAATTACGTATAAAGTTGCCATAAATATTCATATACATGCTTTAGTGTGAAATAAGATTTTCAGCTCTTTTGGGTGAATGGTAAAGACTACAACTTCTGGACAGTATGATATGAGTATGTTCCATTTTATAAAAGATTCCACCAAACTGTCTTCCAAAGATGCTGTACTATCTTGCATTCCCACAAACAATGCACCAGAGTTCCTTTCGCTCAGCATCCTCACCAGCATTTGGTATCAGTGCTCTGGATGTTGGCCGTTCTAGTAAGTGTTTAATTATATGTCTTTGTTTTGATTTGCATATCCCTGATGTGGAACATCTTTTCATATGCTTATTCGACATCTGTATATCTTCTTTGGTGAGTTGAGTTTTAAGAGTTCTTTGTATATTTCAAACAAGTCTTTGATATAACTTTTGCAAATGTTGTCTCCCACTCTGTGTCTTGTCTTCTAATTTTCTTGAGTTCATGGAAGATTCTTCGGGTCAGGAATCAAGACAAGGCAGAGCAGGAATGGCTCACCTCACAAGTCCAGGGCCTCAGCTGGGAAGACTCCGAAGAGTGAAGGGTGAAGGGTGAAAGATTCAAAGGGCTGGGAGCGGGAGTCTGCTTCTCCACTCACATGACTGCACCTGGGCTGGCCCAAGCAGAGGTCCAAACTCAGTGGTGACTGTCAATCAGAGTACCTTTAAGGGGTTCACTGTGTGTCTTGGGCTTTTCACAGCACATCAGCCTCAGGCAGTCAGACCTCTTACATGATGGCTCAAAGTTCCAAACACAAGTGTTCCAACAGACAAGGTGAAACTGCATGGCCTTTTATGATGTAGCCTCTGAAGTCACATGTGGTGATTCTGATTATTTTCACTATATTCTATTGGACAAATCAGTCACAAGCCCATGCAGATTTAAGGATAGAGTCTATCTTTTTATGGGTATTTTTAATTTTATTTATTTATAAAATTATTTAGAGAAAGGGGAAGGGAGGGAGAAAGAGTGGGAGAGAAACATCAATGTGTGGTTGCCTCTTGCACACCCCCTACTGGAGACCTGCCAGCAACTCAGGCATGTGTCCTGACTTGGAATCGAACTGGTGACCCTTTGGTTTGCAGGCTGGCACTCAATTTCCTGAGCCACACCAGTCAGCACTTTTTATGGACATTTTAAACCACCATGGACATATCTCTACAGAGATATGGAGATACATGCCAAGGGTTAACAGGCCCACCTACCAGAATCCCTCAAAGTAAATTTTTACTAACTTATTATTTTAAGTCAGACTAATTTGAACATACCTTCTAAGGATGACAAAATTCCATCTACCTATTTTCACGTGATACAGGGACAAAGAGAAACTTCATTTTATCTGTATGAATTTCATCAAGAATGTCTAATAGCTTCCTTTTGACCTCAGTACCATCTGCCAGTTACAACCATTTCTTATTTTCCAAACACTATCAAGCTGGATCCACCCTCAGGCTTCCAGCTGTCATATCAAGAAAGAATAGAGACCACCTAAAACAAGTAGATCAGATAGATTAGGATGGGGCAAGCAGTGTGGTTGCTGAATTCAGTGGCTATTCCCTACCTCAGTGATTACCAGACTTTAGGATTTCATAGGCCAAGAAAAAATTTGTAAATAAAAAATAAATAGGAGTCAATAAAGTCACCAACTCTTTATTCTTCAAAGTAAGGACATTTAGAAAACAACTATTCTATAATTATCATCACATAAGAGAACTGAAATGAATGATTTCAAAATAAAGCACAATCCTTAAGAGTAAGTTTGACTAAATGAAAAACTCACTATATTTTTTCTCATTTCACTGTTGATTGTCAGAAACTTCACCACAGAGGAACCCGGGTTCGCAAAGAGGTGTGAGAATAACTTGTGTGTCTGACATTTTGGTCTTGTCCCCCTCTTGCGTTACTCTGATAGTTCTAGAACTTTAGCTTGCTCCTAGGAACTCAGTCTAAAAAGACAGACAAGCAGCATCGTATAAGCACCGGTGGTCAAAATGAAGTTCCATTCCTTTGTGAGTTCTAAGCAGAATGAAAGCAATAAGGGCATTTCAGTGCACCTTTCCACATTTGCAGGAAGATGATGTCTTCTCCTGTCTTCAAGGAGCTAAGACAAAAGTGCAATGTTTGATCCATGCCCAACTGAAAGAATGATGCTCAGTTTGTGTGAGGACATAACAAAGGGCAGTAATTGGCAAAGTAGTCCCAGTACACAGAAAGAAATATGTCATCTACACTGAATAAGTGCAGCAGGAGAGAGTTAATGGTGCAACCGTTCGTGTGGGCATTCATCCCGTCAAGGTGGTTGTCATTGGACTAAGCTGGACAAGGACCAAAAAAAGATCCTTGAACGTAAAGGCAAATCTCAACTACTAGGAAAGGGAAAGGGCAAATACAAGGGAGAGCAATTGAGAAAATGCAGGAATAAAGTCATCTTACACACAACTTTCATTAAAAAGTTAAAATTATGTTAAAAAGACAAACAAGTAAAAGGTTCTAACATAACAGTGCAATAGAATACAGGTGGGAAAATTAAGGAAGGTTCCGCAAAATTGGCAAGAAAGGTCTACTCATGAGAAAGAATATAGGTGCAATGACTGTGGCTGAAAGTACAGAGGTAGTCCGAGTATGCAATATATCCAAGTAAGATTATACTGTGTACCTAAAAAGTGAGCAGTGGTTATACTTGGTTAGAGAAAGGGTTACTTTTCTTTTCTTCTATTTTCTGAAATTTAACAATGGAGTAATTTAATGTATTAATTTAATGATCAGGAAATTTTGTAAAAACAATTTCAATTTTGTAGGTTAGCTTAGGAAGAACCAACAAAAGGCCTATTGCCACTTTTTAAAAAGTTTGTATTACGAGACACCAGATTGGAACGCGCAGATGTTAGATCTAGAGGAGTGCAGAAATCAAACTCCAAACTTTGGCTAGGACAAATGACACCGGGGAGTTAGCATTTGTTCACTGCCTCTGTGCGGATCCTAGGTTGGGTGTACTCAATACAGCCAGGCTTCTTGCCCATAAATAAGGTCATTAGTCAGAATTTGTCAGGTGGCAGGTGCTCTCTGACCAGCTCTATCACTAGTTCAGAGAGTTCAGGCCAATTATTTAACCTCTTGAATCTGTTTTCTCTTATGTAACACATAAAACTCCTTACCCTTCCGAATTTTTGTGCAGACTAACCGATATAATGTAAAGAACTTAGTACATTTTCTGCCCCTCAGAAAATGACAATTATAACAAAGGACACGTTTATGTATTTAATTGAGAAACCTGTATTTGTTCCCTCTACTGGTTTACAAAAACCTTAAGAGCCCATTTACTATTTCTTATAGTTTTCGCTAAAAGCTTGAAGCACATAAAATCATTGTTAGTTGGAACGTCAACCTTTTGAAAAGTAAATTAGTGTGTTTTTATCACAAGTTTCAAATGCAGAAATTTGCAGTTTTTGCAGTATTTGCAGTTACTTCCAAAATTAAACTGTCTTTACAATGACCTTTCTGCAGGATCCGAAAACAAATATTCTAGCAACCGACGTAAACCTAGGTAGAGGTTTCCAATTTTTCTCTGTCTTCCTATGGTATCTGGGCCCCCTACCCACTTCCACAGAGAATCAGAGACCTTCACTGCATTAAAAGGTTCAGCTCTATCGTAACCGCCTCTTACCCAGGCTTTTTTAACGCTGGGATATAGGCAGCAGAAGAATGTAGTACGTATTCGTCCAGCGTTCTCAATTCTTACAGCTTCCAAATCCTTCCCACAGGCCACTGGGCCAAACGGCAGCGATTCTAGCAAATTCCATCCACTTTTTCGTCTTCCAAGTGTCTAACCTTTATACACCCCCTTACAGCCCCGCCCACCTCAAGTGACCAATCAGAGAGTGGGAAATGAACCGGATAAGGCGGGCCCAACCTGGCGTTGTCGACAAATCACCAACCTCAGCCAGCGGGGGGCGGAAGCGGAAGCCCTGGTTTGGGGTTGGGTTCCGTCTTTGAGGGGGGATGGCCTGTAGGAGCAGGTGAGGGTTCTGAAAGACTGTAGGGTTTGAGCCTCGCCTCCTGTTTATAAGCGAAATTGAATAAAGGGGCGCTTGGGAGCTTGCAAGATAGCAAGCTCGACCTTCCAAGAAAAGAGCGAGTAGGTCGGTAGCTGAGAGACAGAAGCAAAGTGTGTGCAGGGTGTTCAGAAATCGTTGTTGTTCCGCGCCGCTCTCCAGGCCATGGTGCAGCAAGAGCTCTGGGCGATACCCAGGTGAGGGCAGCGGCTCCGTCCGGGGTTTCCACCGCAGAAAAACTGGGTAGATGCAGGGTGGGGAAAAAAGGATGCTGCCCGTTCTGCTCCCCGGTAGCACCCTGAGCGGCCGCAGTTGCCGCAGCTGCAGCAGACAGCACAGCGCAGGCCGGGGAGGCGGCTCGAGCTGCTGGTAAAGTCGCCCAACAGCTATTTGTGTGTAGGATGCGAGTTGATAAGACAGCCAAAGAACAGAGCTCCCCAATACAATATCTTTCGAGCTCTTTTTCCTTGCTATTCGGAGTTGATTTATGTGGAAACATGCCTTGCACTTGTACCTGGAGGAACTGGAGACAGTGGATTCGTCCTTTAGCAGCGGTCATCTACCTGGCGATCGTATTGGTTGCAGTTCCCCTTTGCGTGTGGGAATTACAGAAACTGCAGGTAAGGAGCCTGTACATCGACTCTATCCTTTCCTCTACCTTCCTGCCCCATCTGAGGTTGCTCATTTTTACCCTGGATGCCTCAGACTTGATATCCTGGAAACCACGTCATGTAAATGAGCCCAGTTTTAGGATATAAACCTGTCTAGTTTCTTCTTCACGGTTTTTCAAAGCATAACACAGGTGGAGGCAGGACCAGGTCGAGAAAATAGGATATATTAAGATAGCCGCATAGAAAAGCACTGTTTTGTTTTGCAAGTATTCTTCAATTCTTTGAAAGTGAGGTAATTTTATCCCTTAAATCTGATCTGTCCCAACATTGGGCTTGAGTAAACTACCTTGAAAGCCACGTATTGAGTTTTATTAGCATTTAACTAGCTTCCTGAATTAAAGGATTCTAGTCGATTTAACTTTGTTGTTTTTACTTCAGAAATTAACTCTTAACCAACAAAGGTTTTGCAAAAGTCCCTTGTATATTTTTTGATGTCATATTCTTATTATGACATCAATAAAGTACTACAAGCTGAAAGACCCCAAGCTAAATACTTAACTAAGGTGTGTACTTTATAAATATTGTATAACGAACTTTAAATTCCAATTGAGTAATAACTACTTTTACCTAGAAACACCTTTTTACAAAGGATATGACAAGATCATGGCTACTTGAGGCCCTTATTTTTATTTAAAACTATTTTTTTAATTTTCAAGTACATTTGACCATCAATATTAGTTTCAGATGTCCAGCATAGTGATTAGATGTTTATAGAATTTATGAAGCAATCCCTTCTGTAGGTCTTGCACCCATCTGACACCAATATATAATTGTTAAAGTGTTACTGACTGATCTCTATGCTATACTTTACATCCCCATGACTATTTTATAATTGCCAATTTATACTTTTTAATACTTTCAATTTGAGACCTTTTATTGTGGAGATGACTTGTATTTACATAAGTAAACAAAATGTGTATTAAACACATTTTGTTTTCTGTATGTTCACATGTGTTTTTTGTTGCTTTTCCCATGCTGGCATAGTCCATGTAGTTACTTTTAATGTATAATATTCCACTACTTTAAATATTTCTCATTTGTTGGATATTTAGGTTATTTCCATAATTTGTTTACCAAAGACATCTTAATACAAATAGGGATTTCTTATTTTGAAGTATTTCTTTGGAATGCGGCATAGGAAATACTTTTAAAGTTAATGATATGTATAGGGTCAACCTGTTGTAAGACTTCTCAGGTGTTGGTTTCAAGTGTGGTGTTTTAAGTGCCAGCTTTTAAGGAAAGTTTTGGTCTGCAATCTCCACTGCTAACATTGCACCAAATGCATTATGTTCTGCCTGGACTCTTGCCAACACACCAGCAAAAGTATTGAATTAAAACGTAAGTCATGTGATATATGTCCTCTTCTCACAGTTTCCCTGTCTCTCCTCGTCCCAAATTAAAAGCCAGTGTCCCTAACTGTGGCCATCAAGGCCCACAGGACCTGATACCACCCCCCTCTGACTTTCCTCAGTTCCTGAGCCTTACCCACACCCACTTCGCCCACTCATGAGAGGCACACTCCCTCCATAAGGTCGTGTACTAAATGTCCCCCTTCGTGGCATGCCCTTCCTTTGTGTCCTTCAGGTCTTTACCAAGACGTCACCCAGCCACCCTGTGTAACATTCAGGTTTCCCTTCCTCAACTTTTTATATATTCTTTACTGCTGTTTTTCTTCCCAGGATTCGTCACCATCTAACATGATGTATATTTTACTTACTTTGTTTTCTTCTCCTTCTGCCCGAATGTCTGATGGTGACTGTTTGAGTCCCGGTGCTAAATCAGACTCATGTTCTGTGTGATGAAAGATGGAAACCCAGCGCCTACCTCCATGGAACTCAGTGGTGGGGGCAGTGGCTACTTGGGCTGCGTGACTTATGGCCCAAATCAGGACAGCAGAAACAGAGAGAAAACTGGCTTTTTGGTATTCTTAAAAGTGAAGAAATAGGAACTGACAGGGCATTGGGTTGGGAAGGGGAGACAGAGTAAGGGCAATACCAGGAATGACTGTGAGACTTGTGGCTTGACCACCAGGGTAGATAGGGTGGATGGTGATGTCAGTTAACTGAGAGGGAAAGTTGACAGGGACATGTTTCAGAAAAATCAAGGGTTTTTGTTTTTGTTTTTAATTTTTATTCATTGGTTTTAGAGAGAGGGGGGAAGGCAAAGGAGAGAGAGAAACATCAATTTGTTCCATTTATTGATGCATTCATTGGTTAATTCTTGTATGTGCCCTGACCAGAGATCAAACCTGCAATCTTGGGGTCCTGGGACAATGCTCTCATTCAACTAAGCTACTTGGCCAGGGCAAGAAATTGATTCTTTTGGGCATTTATATCGAGGTACATGAGAGACATTCAGATGGGCATGGAAGATATGCAGTTGGATATACAAGTCTAGAGCTCAGAAAGGTTTAAGCTGCAGATATAAATGGGAGTTGTCAGAACAGAGATGCTCTTTAAAGCCATAAAGGTGAGTGCTATTGTAAGGGAGAATAAAAGGCTGAGTACCTAGCTCCAGGAGTTAGGGATCAAGTAGGGGAATTAGGAGCCTAAAAAAAAAGCAGCAGCCAGTGGGAAAGTGCAATGCCAGGAGAGGTGTCTGGGTAGCCAGAACACGAGAGTGTTTCAAGCACAAAGAAGTAAATGGTCAGGGGACATACAGTCTTGGTATTGCTGAGATACCTTTGGTTTTCACGAGATAGGAATGTCACTTTATAGTGATTTGAGTAATGGCTTTAACAGACTTGTGATGGCTGAAACTAGAGAGAGTCGTTTGAAATATGAATGTGGTGGGTAAAGAAGTGGAATCAGGATATGAAGGCAAGTTTTTTTCTTTTTGTTTTGATTATTTTGACTCTAAGGGGACCTGAGAAATGAATAGCACAGTAGATAGGAGTGTGGGATTAGGGGAGTAGTTTTTTTTCTCCTTGTTGTGTTTTGTTTTTAAGGATCTAGATACTAACTATAGCATGTTCCTAAGATTTAGGCATACTTTCATTTAATATTCTTAATAACCCTGAAGCATAGGTATTATCTTCATTTTATGGATTTGAAAACAGGTAAGTGGATAAAGGGACCTTGTGCTGAAGTATTCTACATACAACACCCTTATTGTTCTCTACATCATTATTCATGAAATGAGTTTGTGTATCTGAAATACTTAATACCCTGCCCAGCACATTGGAGATACTCAATAAGCCCTAATTACCATTGTTGTTTAAACAATAGCCTCACTGTTCTTGCATTGGAACAGCAATTCTTTTTCTCATGAAATAGCATCTTAGTTGGTATTAGGTTCTCTATTGAATACCTGTGGCAAAGTTTTATGCATCTGCCTGAGCCCTAGATAAAATAGTTGACATTTAGGGACAGACTTGAATGAAAAATATGTGTCTTTTAAACACTAGAATCACAGTGCTAACAGTGAGACATCCATGGAAACTGAGATTGTAGAAAACAGGAGGTTTATACCGCTGGTTCCATGCCCACAGTGGTGCATACACAGTCATTGATTGGAGTGGCAAGGTGACTGCGCTATTTAAGCTCACTCTCACTCTCTCATTTGGCTGAGTAGGTATAACTGAAGTCAAGTTAGGTAAATGTGCACGTGATGTCACGCTGCTCTGCAGTCATGTCTCCCTGTGCTCTGGTCCTCATGGTCCGAGTAGCCACCCTCTATGTCAGTGCTTCTCTCGTCCCCTCGGGATTGGGGACAGCTCTCCTATTCCTCTCTGGCCTCTGTTTTGAAAGCATTCAGCTGAGGGACAGTTAATTCACTCCTGGATGCTCATCTTCAATGGTTTTTTCTTATATTTCCTCTCTAGCTTCAGATTACCTGACCTTGTTGGGGGCGTGGAATCTACACTACTGATCTTCCCCTTATTTTGCGAGCCAGAAAACCCTACACATTGCTAATAAGTTTAATAATGTTAATGGTATCCTTATATCAAATGTGTCTTAAGCTTAAATTAAAATCAATGTAATAATTATACTAATTTCTACAGATACCTAGAGTTGACTTATTATATGTGCACACATAAGAGTTTAAGTTTCTTGTACATATGGCT